TTCAGCAGGTTCCAGCCTCTGGTTTCTGCAGCTGACATGTTGAGGCAGGAGTTTCACCCAGGGCTTCTCTCCCCAGCGGGCAGCAGGGGCTCCCCAGTGTGTTGTGTGAGGGGACGAGGTCTCCATCCTCTGCAGGCCTTCCCTTGTGGTCAGGTCACCTTCACTTGCCCGCCCCACCCCCCTGTACCAGGAATGGGGTCAGGCGCTGGGACAGGGGAGAAGCAAGGCAGGCGTGGTATCTGCCCTACTCAGGGTTATTGTTCTCTGTCGGGAAGCAGCCATGAATTAAATACTCCTCCAAAGTGTGGAGAAAGTAATAACCTCACACGTATACATAACAAACCATGAGCAGTGCTGTGAGAGAGGCGGCGGGAGTCTCCAGAGAGCCTAAAACCCAGAACAGAGCTAGTGGAGGTAGGGGCCACAGCGGGGGGACCAAGGAAGGTTTTCTGAGGAAATGATGTTTAAATTGAGATCAGAAAGGTGAATAGGAGGTAGTGGGTAAAGAGATAGTCTAAGAGGTTCGTGGCAGAAGGAAAGGCTTATGCAAAGGCCCTGAGGCACAGGGGGCATTGTTTATCCAGTGGACGGGAAGCCAGGGCTGGGTGTGTGTGGGGGGGGGGGGGGTGGTAATTAATTATTGCTCTGCCCGTTACCTCTTGGGCCTGTTTCCAGTTGCTGACTGTCGGAGAAAGCAGCTTGGAGGCTGAGGGGAGGGGACTGGAGGCCTTTTCCCTCTGCTTCTATCTGGCTTAGCTGGGGGCCACTCAGGGGAAGGATGAGAGAAGGAAAATGTGGAGCTGGAGCCGTAGAGAGCTCCCATTTCTCCTTTCATTTCCTTTTCCCCTTAGCAGGGACAACACAGAGGCACAAGGGCAAGGAGCATGAGGAACCCCAGGGGGGGGGGGGGGGCTGGGGTGAGACCTGGCAGGGCTCCAGGTCTGAACTCCATCATGATGGGAGTTTAAATCTTGGGAGGCCTTTGGAGGGTTTTGATTAGGGAAGAGGCTGCTGCTTCACTCTGGCTGCTGAATAGAGACTAGGGACGCAGCTGGTTAGGTTGGTGGAGTGTCCAGTCGAGAGAGGGTGATGGCAGTGCAGAAGGAGAGCAGGGAGCTGCTGTCTGGAGGTGTGGGTGAGGGGCGTGCCGTGTGCAGGGGTGTGGGCAGGAAACTCTTCCCCACCCCCAAGTCAGGCAGGTGCATCCTATCTGAGAGGATCTCACTGAGAGGACAGGCTCTGCAGACAACTGCAGACTGGGAGAGTCCAGAACCTCCTTCAGAGGGCAGTCGGGGCAAGGGTGAGGCAAACTGAGGCTTCCTGAGCCTTTGTGATGTCCCCATACCCCTCGGGCCCCCAGCAGGTTTGTGTGTTCCCCCAATAAGGCTGCCCTCGCCCCCTCTGGGTATTCCAAGAGCAGTCAGGTAGGTCCCCGCGTCTCCTTCCTCCAGGGAGGCCCTGGGTGCTGTAGGATGTGCTTAGGATTTGGAATCCTGGATCAAACCCTAGCTCTACTCCAGATCAGTCTGTGATTTGTCTGTTGTTTAACCTTCTGAGCCTCCATTTCCCCATCTCTAAAACGGGAGTGATAATACTACTGATGCTAAGGAGGGTGACGGCTGCCCACAGGCAAGGTCCACCACGTGTCCAGCCTGTGCAAGCAGCCTGCAGACATCATCACATTTCGTCTGCACAGATCCCTATCACTAGCACCATTCTGCAGATGAGGCTCAGAGATGGTGAGTGACTTTCTTAATAATTACATAAAACCTCCAGAGCCCACTGGACCCTGGGCTGCTGGGTAAGATGGGCCCCTCCCTGCTCCCTGCAAGGCTGAGCCCTCCCAGCTCTCTGTACCTGCAGCTGTCACTCCCAACCCTGGTGGTCCCCCAGACCCTTCCCTCCTCAGAAACTCTGCGCCATCTGCCCCTCTCCACTGGATCAGCACCTTCTCCCTCTGCTGGCTCCTTCCCATCAGCATTAAATAAATGAATAAATATTGTCTTTCACATTTTAGGAAAAAGAGAAACAAGAACAGGAGTTTCCTTGGTGGTCCAGTGGTAAAGAATGCACCTTGCACTGCAGCGGATGCGGGTTCCATCCCTGGTCAGGGAACTAAGATTCCCACATGCCGTGGGGCAGCTACGTGTCACGCCACCGTGTCACAATTACAGAGCTCGCGTGCCCTGGAGCCTGTGCGCCACAACTAGTGAGAGAAAACCCGCACGCAACAACCAGACAGAAGCCCCCACACACCACAACGAAGATCCCGCATGCCTCAACAAAGATCCCGTGTGCCGCAACTAAGACCCAACACAGCCAAAAATAAATTACATAAATAATAAATAAATCTTAAAAAATAAAAAAAGAAACAAGAATGTAAAAACCTCCCTTCAACCCCGTCCTCCAGGTGCCATCTTCTCTTTATCTTCCCCCATCACAGCCAATCTTCTTTTTTTTTTTTTGACTGCGTTGGGTCTTTGTTGCTGTGTGGGCTTTCTCTAGTTGCAGGCGAGCAGGGGCTACTCTTCATTGCAGTGCGCAATGGACTTCTCACTGCAGTGGCTTCTCTTGTCGTGGGGCACAGGCTCTAGGTGCACAGGCTTCTGTATTTGTGGCACACAGGCTCAGTATTTGTGGCTCACGGGCTCTAGAGCACAGGCTCAGTAGTTGTGGCGCACGGGCTTAGTTGCTCCGCAGCATGTGGGGATCTTCCGGGACCAGGGATCGAATCTGTGTCCGCCTGCATTGGTAGGTGGGTTCTTAACCACTGCGCCACCAGGGAAGTCCCCAGTCTTCTTTAAGTAGTCACTGTACTCTGCTTTCCACTTCTTCACCTCTTGCTCCTTGACCTTCTTTGGTCTGGCTTTGGCCCCTGCCACCCCACTGACTCTGCTCTTGACAAGGCCCCCAACTATACCAGTGTGAACTGTTTCTGGCAGGTGTCTTGGAGTCATATAGGCTTGAATTCAAATCTCAGATGTGCCGCTAATTGGATGTGTTACCTTGGGCTAGTGACTTGACCTCTCTGTGCCTCTAAACTGGGGATAACAACAGTGAAGGACTAAATGAGATAAAGTACCTGGTGCAGAGTGGGCTTATCATCATTGAACAAACATGTTTTTGTTCCAGAGACCAGACCAGGCCTGGGCTCATCGGCACCGAGCAGGTGGTCTGAAATGTCATTTCTCATGGTATCAGCCTTCCTGGAGCTGTTCATTGGTCTGATTAATAGGAAATGGATCCACTATCAGGCTTAGCAAGGCATTTCTACATCTTAATGAAGGCCGGGTTTCCAGGGTCTTGTGACCCTGGGTGGTGGGATTCCCGGTTGACCCTGGTGTGTGTATCAAGGTGACATGGGTGGGCATGGCAGTACAGTGTCCAAGCCCCCTCCCTTCTCCCCCTCCCCCTGCCTCTCTGTGGACACTTTGGGGAGACGTCCAGGCCATCGGAAGGCAATAGCCCAGCCAGTGGGAGCAGGGTGGGGAGGGCAGATTTACAGGACAGCATTCACCTGGGAAGACATCCAGAGACACTTAGGAGGTGGAATGTGTAGACCTTCAGGACTGATGGTGTGTGGGGGCTGGGGAGAGGTGGAGTCACGGTTTCTGGCTTGAGCCTTTCGGTGGATGGAGGTACCATCACCCTGGTGGAGAGCAGTGGGGGAGGGACGCGTCCAGGGGAGATGCTAGGGCTGTTCCCAGCAGCTCTCAGCATGCCTTTGTCCTAGAGCTTGGAATTGATGGGGGGATGGGAGACAGAAGAGTGTGGCAGTTAAAGTATGGACTCCAGACTCAGTTGCCTGGCTTCAAATCTTGGCTCTGCCACTAATCAGCTGTCAGGTTAGGCAAATCCCTTAACCTCTGTGTGTCTTGACTTCCTTCTCTATAAGCACAGATAAGTGTAGCACCCAGCTTACGTGCTCACAGCTCTTTGAAGAGTGCCTGGCACATAAGAAGCACACACAGGGGTTAGGCATCACTACTGTTATTTCCTCTATAGATCTTTCTCGCCCCCCACCCCATGCCTGCCCCTGTAGTAGACGCCATGTTGGCGGTGACTGTGCCATGATGACTTGGTGTCTCTCTCTCTCCAGGCAAACCTGTCTTCATTAAGGTCCCTGAGGACCAGACTGGGCTGTCAGGAGGGGTGGCCTCCTTCGTGTGCCAAGCCACAGGGGAACCCAAGCCGCGCATCACATGGATGAAGAAGGGGAAGAAAGTCAGCTCCCAGCGCTTCGAGGTACAGTCTCGGGTGGGAAGGGGCAGGCAGGGCTCCAGGTCTGCCTATTCTGGGGTCTGGTCCTACCTCACCTGCTCTTGGTCTCCCTCCTTGGGGGCCTTTTGGCAGTGAGAGGATGGCTGACCCTGAGCAGGCTTCTGTGTCCTGAGCAGGCTGTGACCACGTGTCTGTCCTGCGGCAGGTAATTGAGTTTGACGACGGGGCAGGGTCCGTGCTGCGAATCCAGCCATTGCGGGTGCAGCGAGATGAAGCCATCTATGAGTGCACGGCCACCAACAGTCTGGGAGAGATCAACACTAGTGCCAAGCTCTCAGTGCTCGAAGGTACGTGCTGGGGAGGGATGGGGCCTGGTGGGTGCGGAGACTGATGCAGGGATGAGCCAGCCAGCCAGGCCCGTCCCCACCGTGGGCTGGGGTGTTTTTATAGAAAGGAAAACTACTGGCCATCCTGGGGTCAGCGAAGGTCAGTGGTGGGCAGGGACAGTCACTGGATTTTTGGCTTGTGCCAAAGCCCGCTGTGTGCCTCGTGTCTTTGTGTTCTGCAGAGCCGGGATGTTGCTTGGTGGGTCTGGGGACTGACTTGAGGTGTGGGGCTGCAGCTACATATCGCTTGGGGTACATGACTCTTGGCAGTGGATGTGATTTTCATGTGGAACCTGGCAGTAGGCTTCAGAGAGGTGTGTTCCCAGTCACTGTTAGGAGCAAGGGCCCTAGGCTGGAGGCTGGGGCTCTGTAGATGGACTTTAACGACTTCTCTCACTCAGCGGCTTCTCCATTCATTCACAAACACTCCCTAATGCTGCCTTGTGTCCTGTGAGTTATCTGACCCGGTCGTGCCCTTGAGACTTCGGTCTCCAATAAGTCCTGTGGGTGTGGCGCAGGGGACTGGGGGCAGGGTGCAGCGTAGAAGGGAGCTGTGGTCTGAGTCCTGGGGACAAGTGGGAGTTGGGTTGGGGGCCTCGGCAGGGGAATAGCATCAGCATGTGCCAGGGCCCAGAGGCAGGAGAGAATGGTGCTTTCAAGGGACTCTGAGTGGTTCCGTTTGGTTTTGGGGTGCGGGGGTCACTGGAGGACACAGAGAAACGGGGAAGAGTAATTCAGCATGAGCCTGGAGAGACTGGAGGGCAGATGACACAGGACCAGGTTGAGAAATGAACACTTTCCTGGGGACATAGGAAGCCACAAATAGAGAGTGACATGATCGCCTCCCCACCCCAGCCATGATGGAGTCATCAGTCTGAATGTGTCTGCCGATATTTTCAAAATATGGCATTGATTGTTGCTTTTTTAAAAAAATTACAGTAACAATACCTGTTCACTGTTGAAAATTTGGTAAGTATAAAATAACACATAGGAAAAAATAAAAATCACCTGTTTATCTTACCTCTGCTATTAACTTTTGGTTATTTCCTTACAGTCCATTTTCTGTGCATGCATGATAATATGTAACAAAAACAGGATTACATTCTGCTCAATGATTTGTGGACTGCTTTTTAAAAAACATTTCATGAACATCTTCCCTGCCATTTTTTCTGCATCATTATTTTTAATGGCTGCGGGTAAGTGTCACATGCAAGTACCCTAATTTATTTAGCCACTCCCTTATTGTTGGACACATATGTTGTTTCCAGTTTTTTGCTTTTATAAATAAGGTGCTATAGGCTTTCTTGCAGATAAGATGTGTTCACCTTCCTGATTATTTCCTTATTCTAGATGCATGGAAGTGGAATTGCTAGATCAAAGTGCACATGCGATTTTAAGCCTTTTCAGTATTTCCAGAAGACTGTATCGGTTTACACTCCCACCAAACAGGGCATAAGAGTGGCCTCTTTTCTGCTTATCCTCACCAGCAGTGGGAATTATCATTTTAAAAAGTCTTTGCCAAGTTAATAGGCAAAAAATGGCATCTCAATTTAATTTGCATTTCTTTGATTACAGAGCAGTTGAACATCTTTTCGTATTGGCCATTTATACGTTGTGGCTTTATGCGTTCACACGCACGTCCATTCAGTAACTCCTTTGTGACTGCGTGTCTGCTGCGAGGCGGGGCAGGGCCCTCCAGCTTAGAGGGGCAGTGGAGGACAGTGGTTAAGAGCAGGGCCTCTCGACCACTTACTCTCTCACCTTGTGACCTCAGGCAACTAACCATGCCTCTGAGCCTCATTTGCTCTACCTGTAAATAGATACATAGTACTTGCCACCCAAGCTGGTTGGGAGGATTAAATAGGAGTTAAGCACCTTGCTGGATTCCAGCATGAATGGTAGTTGCTACTGGGCTGGAAGCAGCACATCCCAAGGCCCAGACGTGTGAGCTGGCTGTACCTGGCGTCTCTGCTGCCTGGCATCATCTGGGTGATGCAGCCCCCACCATCCACTCCTGTGGGGGGCAGGGGCCCAGAGGACAGGCCTTGGGCCAAGATCCCTGATGGTTGAGTGCTTTCAGGGTGCTCCCTGCCACCCCTGACCTCTGTTTCCCCACTTATGACCTCAGGACAGGTATTTCAGCACTACCCTCCCTCCTGTTGCTGTCTGCCCCAGCAGGAGCCATCTGCCTTGCCCTGGCATTTGGGAGGTGGCTGAAGGGCCAGACTGTGGCTCCCACCCCAGAGGGCATCTCTCAGGCCCTCATATTAAGGGAAAGAGAGCCTTCTTATTGGTGTTGGAAGAAAAGTCCCCCCAAAGCCCCTACACCCCAGTTTTGGCCCTTGCTCTCCCCAAGTCCTCTGTTGGCACTCTCCTATCCCCACCTCTGCCCTGGGCAGCTTTACTTTTAAAGGGTTGAGGAGGATTGGGGTGGTCTTGCAGGGGCTGAGGTGAGGGGGTTCAGACTTGCAGGGGTCTGTCCTTCTAGAGGGGCCTTCTTGGATGAGGGTTTCTCTAGCAGGGGTCTGGGGTCTGTTTGTGCTTCTCGGTGTGGGAGGTGTCTGATGAGGTTGGGAAGCGTGTAGGGCGCTACCCGTGCGCCTGGCCCAGCCGAGATGGAGCTGTGGGCCTGAATGAGCCCCTGCTGCTCCTGAAACACAGCACCCGCAAGATGAAATGCTGACTTACCATGTTGGTCTGCATAACCTTGACCGTCTGGCTCTGGGCATGGCAGAAAGGAGGGGAGTGGGAGGCCTCAAAGGTGCCAGGGGGTGGGGCCAGAGGAAAGCAGCCCCACCCTGCCGCGCCAAGCCTCCTGTGCTGGCCAGGGAAGCTGGGTGTGTGTAGGAGTTGGGTGAAAGTATGGTGTGACTACAGCTGTGGGCTGGGGCCAGAAGACAGCCAGGGTCACTCCTGGGAGGAGGGCTGGGGAGAGGATGAAGCCGGCTTGGGGGCTGGGAATAAAGGTTGAGTCCCTTACCCGCATCATAAACTGCATGTGGCTCACCACACACTGGGCTCTTCAGGGGAGTGGCCCGGGGCTCTCTGGGGTGACTTGGCTCAGGTGAGGGGTTGCTGCCTCCCAGGCCTACGAGTCCACGCCAAGCGCCCTGCCCTGCCTTGCCCAGCTCCCCTCACACTCCGGGAGCACCCCACACCCCTCCCACTTCGTGGCCTTTGCAGCCAGCTCTCTGGGCAGGACTGCCACTCCCAGTGAGTCCCGACTGCCCTGTGATGCCCAGCCGGCTGCTCCCCGCCCCCTAGGCCCCGCTGGGTACCGGGTGGGGGTACCCGGCACAAGCTGGCTGGGGGTAAGCCGCCCAGTGTTCCTGTCTGAGTGGTAATTGAAGCCATTAGCGCACCAGTCTCTCCCTCGCCGGGTAATGGCAGGAAAAGCTCTTCTCACGCCGCACTCTTGAGGCTGAATCACTCCCCCTCCAGCCCGCCCGCTGCCGCCACTGAGACAGGGAATCTGACATTCTCCCTCACGAGGCAGGGGGAGTGGAGGGGGAGGGGAGAAGGGCCTTGCTTCCTGGCCTTTCCCTCCAGGGTGTGGGGAAGCCGGGAGGGTCCTGGAGCTCAGTCTGGAGGTTGTGGATTCACTTGGGCCAGTGGGTTCCAGCCGGGAGGTACTGGTACTGTGGTCCGGAAAGGCCCAGAGGAGGCCAGACAGCAGAGGTGTGGGCAGGGCCCTGGTGACTTGGGCAGGTTCTGGAAGGGCCAAGAAGGAGGAGGAGTAGGGAAA